ATCCCTTTATGACCACAATGTACCCAACTTCTGATGGCTACTTTCAGCAGGGTAATGCGCCATGTCATAAAGCTGGAATCATCTCAGACTGGTTTCTTGAACATGACAATGAGTTCACTGTACTCAAATGGCCTCCACAGTCACCAGATCTCAATCCAATAGAGCATCTTTGGGATGTGGTGGAACGGGAGATTTGCATCATGGATGTGCAGCCGACAAATCTGCGGCAACTGTGTGATGCCATCATGTCAATATGGACCAAACTCTCTGAGGAATGCTTCCAGCACCTTGTTGAATCTATGCCACGAAGAATTGAGGCAGTTCTGAAGGCAAAAGGGGGTCCAACCCGTTACTAGCATGGTGTACCTAATAAAGTGGCCGGTGAGTGTAGGTTGACCTCGATTTCAAATGAGGTGTAATTTGTTAGTATCAAAATGTGTATATAAAAACTCCATTTGAATCTAGTTTGGTGTATCATGTATTATCAATCTTTTTAGCCCTCGATAGCTGATCGATTATCAGCTAATACATTGTCAACGTTTGATAACTTGGCATACCGTTTATATTGTAGCTTAGTAATAAATCATGTGGCAAAACCCAAGATGACTTGGTCAAGGTTATGACGTTCAAACAAATTGCAGGTGTCTAGAGTGTTATATTTGAGTTGATAATTATGGATAATTAACAACAAGCAAGCGAAGATATTAACTCACCAGGCAGTCACGAAAGCCACTAGATTGGCAGTCACGAAAGCCACTAGATTGTCTGGAGGGGACATAACGTGTTTAAAAACAAACCTTATTACTTCTAAACTAAACAGTAACGTATAAACAAAGATATGCTAACGCTCACACCTATGCGTTTATCGCAATGCACGAGTGGATTTATAACCGTTGACTAGCTAACTACATTATGTGTATACGAATGAGCTTCTGTGAAAAAAGTACTAGCAACATTTCATGTACTTATTAACCACAACACTGTGTGTACGTGGTTAGAACAGCATATGCTAAGCTGAAGCTAGGCTACCGTCTAACTAAGGTATGTGCCTACTGTGGTTTGCACAGTTTAGTCGGCTATCGGCATCGATGGTGAATTATGTTTTAGAAAGGTTGTGTACGAATAAAACTCACCTCTAAAAGTGCACACAGACGACTCAGTTATCCCGGATAAAACCCATTACTCCTCTCGGAGATGATCCTGGATCTCACCTTGCTGTTGGGTTTATCACCAATCTCCCAACCACTGGAGAGCTTCTCGCACTACGACCGCTCACGCCACGTCAACAACACGCTTACGTAATGACGTAATCAGCATTAAAACAGTTGTGCTGTTTAATCACGAGATGGCGCTGAAGGACAAAGTTCAGAGTTGGCTAATCAACTGCTTTTGCAGATGTTATTACCTACTAAATTATATTTAAACTTAAATATATTTGAAGTTATTTTACTACTACGTAAACAAATATCCCCATCGCATAAAACAGAATCCCTCTCCAAATGTCTGCCCACGTCTGACAATGCCTACAAACAATTAAGGAGAAATCAATTTCAACATACCCCCTCACCAGTTTTTGTTTAATATTATTGTAATTATAAATTAGTTAAAGAACATCCAACATATCTAACGGGATAAGTAAGTTGTATTTCAAAAATCAATGGTGACACACACACACAAAGTCCAGATTAGAGTAAACAATCAACTGTTAACCAGTATGGACTGGTAAAAGGTTCATGTGACATTGCACTTGCAATAATAATTTAATTATGTTTAGCTTTGGGCTGCTGGCCTACGACTGAATATAGTCTCACCGTTATCTAGCCACTGTAAAATATCTTAAAATATATTTCAAAAATAAAATTTAGCCAAAATACGAATGACCCACTATACAGTTTGCCGCCCAGAGTTTGAGTGCTGTATTAAGAGAGCCGTATACCTAATGTAATCACTGGATGGCGCTGTCCTCCACCACTCGCGCAACCAACATAGACAAATGGGATTAAAACATCTTGGCTCATTAGCCATCTACGCAGAGACGAGCTGGAGTCAGGGAGTTAAACAGTTTTTTTTTCTCTGCTGGCGTTCAGAGTCGTGGTGTGTACAGTGGGAGTTGCTCTCACATGGCTTCAGGAGCACGGAGCTGAGGAAAGGCTCCACCACCGCTACAACTGCTCTGTTACTCCGACTATTCTGCGCCCTGTATGCGCTTCATCCAACTGGGAACCGATAGCCGCCGAAGGAAACAGACATTCCGCCGAGTTTTGTTTTGTTAGTATTTCAACAAAAACAACACAATGCTGCTTTTCACTGTCGCTTGACAAGAGAAGAAACTGCAGACCCCAGACGCGTGAATCCATGTTGACCCCAGCTTTAAAAACATTATTATAGCCCTTTTCATTTCTGTCGGAGAGAAGGGACAAGCAAGGTGTCAGGTGAGTTGGAAGAATTCCATTTTATTGTCAGTTAGCGTTTGTTTGTCCACAGCAGTGCCTGTAGATTGAATAATGATGAAGCTGGGCGGTGTTTGAGGAAACTTTGGCTTGGTTATTTTTTACTAAATACAGCATTTGGTGGACATATCTGCGTCCTGTTGGTGGACTACAGCGCGATAATGCTGGCAAGAAAGAAAGAAAGAAAGAAAGAAAGAAAGAAAAATAAAGATGAGAATATTTGGGTTTTTTGCAAGATGTTTATTTTTCACAAAAGTCTTACTTCATATGATAATGATAATATATTTGACCAGTCAATCTTAATTTATCATATCTTATATCTAGTCTTCTTTCTTTGATATTGTCCATGCGCCACAGATTCATTTTTCGGCCACCGAGTCTGTCAGGATCGGTGGTAACTCCAGGCGCTCTTGCCTCTTGTAGATTAATAGTACGGGTAAGAAAAGCAAACAAACGTGTGGTAATACACAAGTCATCAATTACAGCAGACAGCTCAAGCAGACATATTGTATAACACTGTAAGAAAACGATTAAAAGTGGTTTGGCCACAGCTAATTTCCTTTTGCGCGGTGCCAAAAATCCTCCCGTGGAGCTGCTAATAAAACTGAAAAGCCTAAATATTGATTCAGCGCAATCAGTAAATGAATGGCCGGCGAGCCCATTGAGGACGGAGACAAACGCTTCCATGGTTACATGCAGGACCTCCAGTGTGATTACTGCGCTTTGTGTGTGCGTTTTTCTCTCCTTCCCACTGAAATAAAACAACAGCGGAGGGGGGAAACTGCCACACAGTGTGAGCTGGGGTACGCGCACAGAAACGCTCCGTTGACTAATCTATAGCCTTCATTCGGGCCATAAGTAATCTTGGCACACTTAGAGTTGCGCAAATGTGCTGATACTGTTAAATAAACGAGTGTTGCCCGCCCGGAGTCTCTCTGTGCTACTGATGCCTTGCGTATTTTACGCACATGTCCAGGCTCCGTAATTTACACCTTATCATGTATGTTGGGGGGTTCTTTATGGCATGAATGATTAAACGTGAACATTATCTCTTATTGATCTGACATGATGTCATCTTAGTGCGTCCTTCGCAAATCTCTTTTGTTGCCTCCTCTGTGCTGCTTTAGCAGAGTTAATTCCTTGTTCTCACAATGAGGGAGGGAGGGAGGGAGATAAGGAGGGTGGGAGCTTCTTCTATATCCATTCAACACTGACACCTGCTCTTCTTTAAGAAGCCTTACTCATTGGTGTCTTATTAGTAGTAGTAGTTTTTTTTAAAATAAAAAGATATAATGAATCATTCAGTTGATTCATTTTAACTGTTCTCTCCATATTTGCAAATAAGCAACAGAACCTGACACTGATGATCACTGTCAAACCTCTCATTTTAATGTCCATCAGCACTGACCAACATGTCAGGGTCAGTGTGTTTTTGTATATTTTTATCCTCTGAGATCCTCACTTGCTCCTAGCCCAGACCTTTTGTTAATATCACTGCCTGCCTGGCAGGGGTCAGCCCCCCATGTCCCCTGAGTGAGGGTCTGAATGTGATTCACTGGGCGGAAACTGTTTTACTGCTTGCCTCTCTCCCCTTCTGTCTCACTGCCTAATGGTTGTGCTGTACAAAAGGGGACACTGCCATAAACACTGTTCATTGATGAAAGGTGCTGAAGTGCTGCACGTTGCAGACAGCGTGAGATTAATGTTTTCCCGGGATGAGAGGACTTTCCTTCTCCATATGTGGGGAGTGAGGAAAACAGTGGTTGGCAGCACATCTCTTCACAAACTTCAGAACCACTGCACTGGGATAGTATGCAGTGGTGAATGAGACTTGATGGACCTGGAACCAGACCTGCAACTGTTATACTTAAAAAACATGTTCTTTATCTTTGGAGATTTTGGATCATGTTGACTAGTGACTATATCCATAACCGTGAAGGCCATTTCAGTCCAATAAAGTCATTCTCATGTTCAGAAAAGGCCTAAAATAGTGTCTGACTCCTCCCAGAATGTGAAACAGACGTTTGATCATGTGAAACATTATTTAATTTACTTGATACTATTGGACAAAATGTGCTGTGCTTTTTCCACCTTGAGATGAGGGTAAATCAGTAAATCAGACTTAGCTTTTAGTTTTCCTTTAGTTTTCATTTCACCACAAAGCAGGACAAAGCACTGTTTCTGCAATCCAATTTCCCTTAATTTGACACAACCTTGAAAAGGAACATGCGGAAGAACAGTTTCTAAACCTCCAAACCTGCTACTCTGATATGACTGTATATTCTCTGTATCTGTTTTATCTACCTATCACAGAGAGCTGACTTATTCTTGTGTTATCCTTGATTATCAAAGTATCTCACAAAGCTTTTGTGGACACAAAGGAACACGAGGTTTACTGGGACACAGCACAACTGTTTGCATATGTTCATGTTTCCAGGAGGTGGTTTTTTTTTTATTTGGTTTTTGGATTTGAGCCCTCCTTTCGGCTAAGTCTGCAGTCCAGATTAATTTTTAAAAAAAGAGATAATCAGTGAGATTGTAGCTGTGTCATTTAGAGCTTTTTTGTCGTTTCAGCGTATGTGATGTTTGGCCAATGTGGGTAAATAAAGGCACTGCTGTGGGCAGACAGTATAATTAAAGCTCTAAACTCCAAGAGGAGACACTGTAGAGACTGGGAGCATGTTATGTTGTAAAAGAAAAAAGCTGCTTTGCTGCAATAAAATGAGCAGCAGTCATTTAAATCAAAACAATGAAAAGTACCAATTTTTTATCCAGCAACAGTCTGACAGTCAACTAGTGATGGACCAGATTTTTTTTTTATAACCAACCGTTATGCAAGTCCTGCTGGAGTTGAGTTTAGATTTAAAAGAATCATACATTTAGTTTTAGTTTCAATGTCCTCTGTGTTGTTTCACTTTAGTGTTTAATCTCCAAAAATCATCTGACATCTCATTCTGATGCACAGGAGACGGTATCATGTTTTAGTAGTTGTTGTCTTTGGAACTGTGGGACAGGGAAGTGGTTGGCTGTGGCCGCTGGCCAACAATCCTGAGGTCTCTTTAGTGGGCCTGACCGACCACACACTGTTCACGGTGAGAGGGTTCCAGTACGGTAGCGACAGCAAGAGTCCTAGGCTGTGACCTCGCTGTCAACTCTTATAATCACACAATCAAACATAGACATGAGCATGTACGAAATGCACACACAATTGCTACTAGCTCATGTGCCGCAATATCGGATGCTTTTTTTTTATTCTTATAGTTTGAACCTTGAATTTTGACCGCTTTTAATAAAGAAACATGATTTAATCCTAGTTTATCTGTGTTTTGAATATTTTTCAAAGTTAAGAATGTGTTTATACCACATTTTATATCTCATACTTTAATTGGGTAAACCCTTTAATGTTATGTAAACTATTGATTTCCAACAGGATATTAAATATTCACCTTTCACAGACACAGTACTTTTACTTTTCTGGTTGCCATAGTGTCAGACATCTAATGACTGGCTATGCACCTCATTATTGCACCAAAATTTCTGTTATGCACTATTTTAATGCTTCAAATAAAATATTTGAATTTGAATTTTTAAACCTGCATTCTCATTTTAAATATTATCTCAAGCTAATTTTGCAACATACATACAGCTTTAGAAAATAATAACTAATAACTAAATGTCCCCAACAGTTCTTGGTTGTCAGCTGATCCTGTTCATTTTCTCTAGACATTTCTCATTTTTGTTTTCAGAATGTTCTTGAATACTTTTGAATTTGAACTATACTATACCTAAGAGAGCAGAAAACACCCAGGGCAACATCCTTTTCTTAGATATCAAAACACAAATAAAAACAAGTTTCCCTTGGTTGATGTTTGGTTTGCTAGACTACAAATTAAATTAAGTTTGAAGACCAGTTAAAATGATCTATTTCAGATTGTATTATCTTCTCTTATTGTCTTACAGTAAATCGCTGATCTTAACCATTCACACATTCTTTGTAGTAGGAGCCTTTTTTGACCCACAAATCTTGGAACTCTGTCCTGCGCGCTATGCTTCTGACTTCTGTCTTAAGAGTGTTTCACACTCCACAGCAATCCATCAATTCTTCTCATTCTTCTTCAATTGTACCCACTATGTTCTTCTTTGGGTACTCCTGAGCCCTTGTGTTGTGTGCACACAGTGAGTGTGTCACGGAGAAAGTGTCAAAGTGTACAGCTGGTGATATAAAAATACTTTGATTGTCTGCCTTTTAATCAGCACAGATGTACTTACTTAACTTGCCTGTTTATCACTCTCTTCCATCTTTGTGCTGGAGTTTGTCATGGCAGAGGAATTCCACAAGTAGGTGGGGGTGGTTGACATGGGCACAGTGGGGTGCTTATACGTTAATTGTTTTAGAAAGATGTATTGATCCACCATGCAGAAGCCTGTCATTACTGCTCTGTGACCAAAACATGTCACATCAGTGCAAAGGACTGAAATGTCACATAATTTTAATTAAGATACATCTGTGTTTGACTCTGTAAAAGCTCACTGCAAACCTACTACCTGTACCTGCTTTTCTTTTGCTTATTATTAGCAAGTATTGAGTATGTATTTAAATAAAATGTAGAGAAAACAGAATTTAATAAAAGCTGTTTGTTTCTCCAACAGAGAAAGGAACTGTTGGTCTTGGTCAGGTGGGCCCTCACGCAGTCTGTAAACCGGATGTTTTATTTTAAAAAAAGTGAATTGGATGTGCATAATGCAGTTTAATGTTGTGGATTGAGCATATGGTTAATTGACTTGAAAAAATAAAAGCCTGCAAAAATTGGTAAATTATAAATATATATTACACATGCTTAAAGGTTTAAAGAAAACAAAAATGGACGCTCATGTTTTATATAGCCAATTATGACTAACATGACTTACACCTACAAGTGTAGGAAACAAAATCAGCGGCAGAATAAGAAATGTTCACTTAACACAAAAATAAGCAAAGGAGA